ACGATGCACTATTTCTTCAGAAACTTGAGAAGGAAATCTCACAAGTTATATTGCAAATTTTTAAAGGAACATTGACGACAGAAAAGTTTAATCTCCCAAATATCCAATAGCCTGTGCTTTTCTCAATATTGAAGAATTTATTACAAAAAGAACATTTGGTTAATCAAATTTTGGCACTGAAGCTGATACAACTAACATTGATAATGAAAGTATCTTGATAACTGATTTTGATATAAGTCCTCTTGAGGCATTGTTAGTTGCAAAAACAATTGGTTCCATAAGTAAATGGTAAGTACTGCTGAAGACCCACTAGATATAAGTCAATAAGAGATGGATTTTACTCAAACTTCGAAACTCCTTTTTCTCATTTATTATCCAGTGAGGAATTCTAGAAATGGTACTGGAAAATCAAAAGATATTTCGAAGATACATTTACATTGGCCAAAAATTTGGAAAAAAGAGGAAGGTTAAATCAAAGGAAAAAAATTACTTTTTTGCATTAACTTCAGAAAAAGAACGAAAATTTAAAGAGATTTAAGGAGCTGAAGAAAAAGTTAAAGCCGAAAATATGACGAAGAGAAAAAAAATTCTTAAAAAGATTAAAAAATAGCTTAAAAAAATATGGAGAAAAGAGTAAACAAAAAAGTGATCTAATTATAATTCAATCAAACCCCGCTATAGTGAACATGGTTTAATAGTGAACTCCCGGATATAGTGAACGAAATGTTCGATCCCGTGCCTTGCTCTACCCGTATAATGTTATTTTTTGTGGATATAGTGAACCAAAAAAGTGACGAAGTTGGATATAATAAACTTTTTTCTGATTATAATTTTGAAATTTCTACTTCAAAATAAATACATTTACCGATTTTTAAAACCATCTATAGGTAGCGATAATCATTTTTTTCTTGTTTGCTTCTTTTATCTTACTTTCCCATCCCTAAACAAATCAAGTAGATGTTTCCAACCCAGGCAGATGATGCACCTGTAAGGTGTCAGAGGAATCAATATGCATTTTCTGTCAGAGGGAATGACTGAATTTGACCAGAATTCATTATTGGTCAAAGAGTTGGACACTACCCATATAGCAAAAATTCTTCCGTAGTAGCTCCCACGGAGGAATCGCTCAACCTCCCCCGGAGCTCCCGACTTTTCCCGAATTCCTCCCGCGGAGCTCCTCAGTAATGCAAAATGTCTGCACCTTTCAATTCCTCAGTTCCTCCGGCGGGCTTCCCGAAAGTCACTCCATAGAAGGAGCCGAGGAAGAATGATGAGGAAGTTTCAAGGTCTCATACTTTCCGATGGCTTTCCCCGGGCAGTCTCCTAAGGAAGAACTGAGGAAGTTTCAAGGTCGCATACTTTCATCGGGTACTTTCTTTAGGAAGTGCTGAGGTAGATTTGAATCTTATGGCTTTCCCTTAGACTACTAATACATATAATTATACTTACTAATACATCTACATTATTAGATTCCCAAAAACTCCAAATTGTTTGTGGAAATCAAACGATGCGGCTTAGAAGGGGCAATAGAAGGAAAGACTTGATATCAAAATAATAAACAAGTTCCCTCACTAAAGCCCCACTGAGCCATCGTGCATCATAGATAATCGCTAAACTTGATCACTTCTCCACAGTTGAAGGTAATGCTTGCACAACCTCTGCTTAGGAAATCTTACTGTACTTATATGCATTCTGGTATTTCATCAATTATTGATGAAAAATATAAATAATTATAAAATAATCTTAACTTTACTGGCACTTTGCACAAGTAGATTCAGTTGAAAATATGTCGCTAAATACATCATTTAGTAAAAACTACACCATTAATGAAACAATAAATGTATCAGATAACATTTGATAGATTTATTATATTTTACATTAACTTAAGTTTAATTCAATGTGATATACAAGTCTACAATTACCACATTACGACATACGGTTATATAATTTTAAAGAAAAGTAATTATCAATGTCAATGTACCACCATTTACAATTGAAAACCTTTTAATTGTAAATGATGGTTCATTGACACCTACCTTTTATTATATTTCACCTTTTCTACACACATAAAAGAATTAAACAGTTTAGAAATTTTTTTATTGATAATAGTTTTTATATACAAAATAATAAACTATCGTATTTTTAAAATAATACTCTTTTTATTAACAGACATTTCTTATAATATCAAAGATAAAATCGGAGAACAAGTATGTTACTAGGCCTAACTCAGTAAAGTGGAAATCATTAACTACTTTAACACAGATAATTAGAATTATAAAATGTGGTAAACGTTTAAAATGCATAGATACAATATTATAAACAGAAAAAAATTATTCAAAACGATTGACTTACTTTATTTACTGAATAATAAATGAAGAGCTCAAAATTAGAACAGTCAACATAGCTACACTTGATTACACCTGTAAGCAACAAACTATGTATACCTCCGCGCAATTTCTTCAGCAGGGTTACTTTTCAAAAATTCTGTGGTGAGAATTAAATTCTAGTCAAGCACATCTAGCGCATGCGCAATTGCTCAGCCGGTTGCACGCACAGACATAAGTAATTATGATGCTCCTACGGAATAACCAGGGAGAAAAATCCATTGGATTGATTTCTAACGGATGACCGGTGGAGGCATATCCGTAGGCGATGTTTCCGAAGGACTTCCTACGTATCGTTATCCGTAGGAATGTTAGAATGGAATTTCCCTCGGCTTTCCCCTATTTATCCGCGTCTTCCCTCGGAAGAAAGGGATGCATTTGGGAGGTCCTAGGGAAAGGTTTCGGAAGATGAGTGCTATATGGGTAATATGTGTTGATAAGGCCCTTATTTCAACTACTTTTTGCTCTCAGTGCAGTTAAAAAAAGCCTGCAAACAAGTGTCTCAAATTTAACTATGGCGAGCAGTAAAATGTTCTCCATTGATGATAAAATGGGCATAATCAGAAAAATTTAAAATGGATGTAATCAAGCTGATATTTGCAGGGAATATAAACTATCCAAATCTACAGTTTGTAACATATGGAAAAATAGGCAATTAACAATTTCTGCTCATGAAGAAAATTTAAATGGCAGAAAAAAGTTGAGAAAAGCAGACCACAAGGATATTGAAGAAGCATTGCTGAAGTGGTTCAGCATTCAAAGAAGCCGTATCTTTCAGTATCTGGACAAATGTCGATAAATTTGCTAAGCGACTATACGAGATTACTTTTATGTGCTCGAATGGCAGGTTAGACAAGTTTAAAAAGTGGACTAACAGAAATTCAGGAAAAATTATCAGAGAGTCGGGAAATGTTTCCATATCTGATGTTGAAGACTGTTCAACAGCTAAAGATTAAATTTTTTTTTTGTACGCAGGACGAAGAGTAATAAAAAGTAACAAATGTTTTGCTACTACATTATATTTTTCAGTCATTTATTTGAATAACGTGTAATAAAAGGGAGGAATTTGGGAACCATTAGTTAAATTGCCCGCATAACGAATATAGTGAACTCTCGGTTATAATGAACCAAAATTACGTTCCCTTAAAGGTTCACTATAGCGGGGTTTGACTGTAATAATAAAAACATCATCGGATTACGCAATGATAAATATTCATAATTTGGAACTGACTATTAAGCTATGAGGAAAAAAAATGAAAAAACATTTTTTTTTTTAAATTATGTATTCAAACATATTTTTCTTTCCATTCCATGACTGAAAAAAAAAACATTTTCCACGTTAACTGTGAAAATATGTTGTAATTCCAAAAAAAAAATCTTGTTTTTACACATTTGTGTGGCCTATGGATTCCTAACGAGCATCAAACATTCTCTAAATTAAGTGTTTATTCACTGGTAAGAACTGTTCCTTCACTTGGTTATCTTGCTACTTATTATTTGAACCACCAAGAGCTTAAAACAATATTATGTAAGTTATTTAAATTTTTTTTACATAATTTGTATTTAATAACAAATATGTCGACGCCATCATTTAGCTAAAATTACAAATTTTGAAATTTTTATGATTTTTTCTTAAAGGCAAGCTAAGCTTAAGTGTTCCTTCATTCGTTAATTTACCNTAAATCTTCCCAGACAAAAAGTGTTTCTCACTGTCCCATTGATGTAAATTGAATAATGTGTCATCATAAATAAAAATTCGTAATTTTCCATATGATAAAACTGTAATTTTAGGTTTGTAGGGTGTAAACTCTATTGATTTTTTAAAATTGTTTTTTTTTTTAGTTATTACGCGCTTAGAAAATAATAAACTAAATGAAATATTTTTAAAAAAAGTCGGTGTAAGTGAAAATTTTTGGTGACTTTTCACTTGCTCCTACCTAACCGAAAAGTACTGATAAAATATCGACACATATTTTGAAATTTATTTACTAATATTTCTTTGTTTTTACTTGCAATAAATATTTGGAATACCTATAAATTTATTTTGAAAATAATGTGACTGAATAATAATTATTCTTTTAACAAAATTTAATATCAATATAACACTAGATGTCACTGCACTAGAGTATTATGTGATTACTGCTTTCTTTATTTCAAATTTGTATTTCGGAGGCTCTGTTTTTCCGTATCGATTTCTACATCAAAGCATCATCATTCTAGGCTGTGACTAACGAGGCACTATAAAAATTATCCTTGAACAAGACCCTTTTGAAGAGTTAAACTGTGTGCGAGTAAACATCACATTTTTAAAAAATTAGTTTTGCAAGTATGAAACCTCTTTGACGCCATGGCTGTTGTAGTTAGTAGGAACAGGTACTGATGCTATAACATATATTTTCCTGTACTTGTTAATCTGAGTCAAGTAACTGTGAGTTTATAGAAACAAAATATTTATTTGTCATCTGTTAGTGATATATTTTAATTATTTCTAATTAGCAGTGTTTAAATTGGACTCTTTATTTACCTAATTATTTAAAAATTGTTTAAAATGTTCAAAACTTTTTTGTTCAAATAAATAATGTCTATTATACACTTTCACAAAACTTTTCTTTAAATTATAAATTTGGGAATTACACCACATTGTAAAATTTTAGTTGAAGTGAAACATTTCATAATTTTTTTTAGAACTTCTTGAAAATGTTCATGAATCAATAAAGAAGTGAAAAAGTTGATCAATATTGAGAGCAAGGAAATGAAAAACGATATTGTGGAATAATAAAATGAAAGAGAAAAAAAATCAAAGAACTGAAACTTGAGTGAATTTTTGAGGTATTAGGCGGGTAAAAATGGTCAAAAATTGACGTAAACTAATATCAGTCTCCGGTAAGATGCGTTTTCCGGTTAGTTATATTATAAACCCCTATGTTAGACCCCATGGTAAAATTTCAGATGCCAAAGAATGTCGATACTTTTTTTTTATTAGCATCAATATTTGAATTTGGGGCTAAATTTTTTTATTAGCATCAATATTTAAGGTGTAAGCTATGCACTGTATGTTAAATATTTACATACAAACTTTTAATTTGAGATATAAAAGAAATTGCAATATTAGTTATTTAAAAGAAAATGTTATTTGAAGCGTTTTAAGTTATAGTTCTTAACCAAATTTTTTTTAACCGCACATGCATAATTTCATGAATTTTGCCACATGATTGCCACTACTGAGGTGACATGCTGAAAGGACCACATAGTATAAGAGGCAGGGGCTAAGAGAGGGAAGAAAAAGAAAGAAAGAAAACATTAATTTTGAGGGAACTATTTTCCTTAATAATTATAATAAAAAAAAAACTATTAATATACTTGTTTACAACTCTTTGTGACTAATACTTTTTTTAACATGATGCTTACTATTTACTATTAACATATTTTTATATTAACAATTAATTAAAATTTACAAAACTTATCTTGATAACATATTTTTGCAGTTCAAATGTATACAAATCATCTCCCAGCTTGTAATAATAAATTATATAAAATGGTCCTAGTTGGTAGAAATTTTTTTAAATAATTTCTTAATGGTTATCCTGCAGTTTGCAAATTTTTAAATATTGGGATAATTTTATCTATTTGATCATCAGATAGCTTTTTCGAGCCATTAAATGAAAAATTAATGATTTTTTTTTTTTTAAGACTCCTCTGTAATTTTGAACATGCCAAATTCATTCTGGTAAACAAGTCTTTCGACAGAAGCTGTTGTTGTGGGTACTATTAAACTTAGGGCAAATAACTTAATCAGTTTCGGAATAAGTCTTAGAAAGTGTTCTTCCTTTCCTGATTTTTAAATTTCTTGAATAAAAATAGAGGTGAGTTATTTTTCCCATTGCTTTTGAATACGAATTGCTATGTGTGATTTTCAAATTATGCAAATAAAAAATACGGTTCGTGGTTTACAAATCGAGAGGTGGTGTGGTTTCTAAATTTCGAGAAGGCTCACAACGTACGTTTTTTAAAATGGGCGAATAGGAATAACTTTATGTGGTTGAATGTATGATTTATTAAACGCCAGAGCACGAATCGCGATATGCGATTTTAAATCTCGTTAATGTTAAGACAAAATGAAATGTCAATTTTAAGATCGCGGTAATAGGAATTATGGTGTATGATGAATAATTTGCAAAAAGAATCAAAACGTATGTTTTTAAACCATGTGAATACAAATCGTGATATGTGATTTTTAAATAACGTGACAACAAAAAGAATAGGTAGGGTGTGTATTCTTAAATTTGCCTGTGTTCATGAGACTAATGCAATAAGTAGAATTTGGTTAGTCGTCCCTCCCATTTGTTTTTGTCTCTCTGCACCACGACCCCATGTCTACCTGGTTTTTAAAAGCGGTGCCACGGAGTGTTGTAAATTTATTGCATTCCGTTAGTAAATGTTTGATGGTTTGGCATTTGCAGCTTGATGTCTTTTTAAATAGTCTAGCTTGATGTACACCAAATACTCCGTGGCATGTGTAAAACTGATTGAGATAGAAGTCACTTATAAGTATTTTAGTACTTACTAGTGGGGAAAAGCTGTAAGTATGTCGACCATTATTCGACCTATCCCATGTCTGTTGCCAAAGTTTATTGCTGGCATCCCTGAGAAGTTTTCTTAATTGGACTCTAGTGATGTGGCAGTTTATATCCACCCGATCGAGCTCTGTGCCCATTTTAGCTAAAGTATCTGCCTCCTCGTTGTCCTCATTCCCCGCGTGTGCCCTAATCCAATTTAACATGTGTCCTTTACCTATATTATGTTTGATCTCTTCAACTTGTTTATTTGTGGGCACAGGGTTTTCGAGTGAGTTCAACGAGGAGTGAGAATCTGTGTAAATTGTTGCCGAATAGATGTTGTTTTCATTTAGCCAATTGATGGCTAGTTTAATGGCCTGCAGCTCGGCCGGGTAAATACTTGACTCGTTCTTAAGTCTAATATAATTTTTATAGACAGTCGAACTATTTAATTTGTCGACATATCCACACCCCACTCTTTTTTTTTGTTGTTACCTGTGTTATTATCGAGTATTTCTCTCTTATTGCCATCGGTGTATATTTCATAACCCAGACCCGTCGGTGGGCTGAATCCCCATTCTATTGCCCTGAATTCAACTGGATTGGTGTATGGTATTGTATTCGAGTTGTATAATTTTACGACTGGGCTATCAAAGTCGGGACCTGAGTTGGTACTGTTACTATTAGGCCATTTAAGTGTCCTTACAAAGTTATCCTCTGTTATCTTAATATCTATTGGTAAGGTGCCGGCGAGAATTTGTAGTGCCTCTTTGCTTACAGTACAGTAGCATTTTGTGATATTTATTAAGCATAGTCGTATGGATAACAGACGATTATTTATTTTAACTGTTGGTTTATACCAGACTACCGAGCCATACATTATGATTTTCTCCACTGCTTGTAAGTAGATTGTTTTCAATATTGTTGTTTTTAGGCCCCATGTTGCTCTTGAGCAAAGACTAAGTTTATGGTAGATAATATTTACTTTCTGCTTAATGTCTTCAAGATGTGGGATCCAGCTCAATCTGGGGTGTAGGGTTACCCCTAAGTATTTCAAATTCTGCTCGTTCTTTATGTAAGCTCTTGCAGTGTTACGCATTTTGATACAGGAGGGTCTTTTAATTAATTGTTTGTTTTTTTGGAAAAGTAATTGTTTTTGTTTTGTCAGGTTTGAATTCTAATTTGTGACTTTCTGCCTATGTCGTCAGTAATTCGGCCGTCTCGGTGCCTAGTTTATCAATTTTGTATAATATTGAGTCTTTCATAAGAAGAAGGACATCATCAGCGAACGTCAGCAGTTTTAAATGTGGTTCAATAGGAATTCTAAAAATAGTGTTGATTAAAATAAGCCAAAGTATTGGACCCAGTGAGGAGCGCTGCGGCACCCCCATATTTGTCGGCATATCAAGAAGAGTATCATTAAAGTTAAAGATGATAAATCGTTTGTTTAAAAAGCTAAAAACTAGTTTTAAGATCTGGTCACCCGGGTCAAGTTTATTAAGTTCAATTTTGAGTATATACCAATCTGCGTTATTGAATGCGTTTTTAATGTCCAAGGCCACCCCCACCGTATGTTTACCCTCAAGTTTAGCTTTGTTTATATAATTGACCACTTCTTTCAGGGCATCTTCCGTTCCTCGTCCCTTTCTGAATCCGTATTGGTGATTGTCCAGTAGTTTGTTGTTTTTCTCTGTTTAGTCTCTGTTTTTCTTTTGTATGAGGCAGTTTGATGTTGGAAATACATCGCTTACCTTTTAATGTTGGGAAGTGGCCTAAGCATTTATTTATAAGAGTAGTAAACCATTTTTTATTAGCGTAGAAAAGGTCATGGATGACCTCCGCTGGTATTCCATCACATCATGGGGCTTTCCCTCTCTTCTGCGTCTTCATGACGCTCTCTATCTCGGCCTCTGTAAATTCGTCGGTAGTGCTGTTTTTCTGTATTACTTCTATAAAAGTAATAGGTACGTGTTTTGAATTATTTTTTTTGCAAAAGGGAGCACAATTAATATAAATTTACGCATCTTATTTTTAGAACAAAAAATCATTGAAGGTAATATATCTTTCATATAATTTGTGCACTGTAAAGTTGACCTAATTTGAATTTTGATTTTAACAGCAATATAAAGTATTTATTCAAGTTTAAAATAGTCTATACATTATATCAAGACAAATATTTTATTTATTTGTTATTAATTTTTTTTTCTTTTCAGATTTGTTTTTCTCAAGTTGGATACAGTAGCCAGTATGACACTTGATGTTTACCTAAGATATTAATCTAAGATTCTTTAGTTTCTACTGCCATTGTGAAAAGTTGAAGAAAGGGGTTTACATTGCCTAAAGACTATTATATTGTGTGGTATTTAAATATGATGTTTTTTTGTTGTTCATTCATTCCATTGTATAACTTTTATGTATTGATAATAGTTTAAATACTTATTATGCTTAGTTACTGATAATAATTTAAACAGTTCTTTTAGAGTATTTTAATGTAATGTGTAGTAATTTTCACTTTCATCAGTTACAATCAACGGGAAAATATTATTCTTGTAAAATTACTGTTGTAGTTTTTATAAAAAAATTCTAGGTCTAAACAGTAAACTAATGCTGAAAAGTCTAAAACAATAATAGAAACTGAAATCTAAGTCAGTACACACTTATATATCTTTATCATTACAGCTCATGTAAGTATCTTCAATAATATAATTACGCTATATAGAAGTTATTAGGTCACAGTCAGTATGACTTAAAAAAAAAAAACATTCTCAAAACTTATACAGATAACATCTTCTTGAGTAAGTAGTATAGTTTTTTCATAGAAAGAACATCCAACTAGACACAATAACACTCATACTTTAGAGAAACCTTATTCATGTAGTAAGAAATTTTCAATTAAAATGAATTCAAATCAACACGATAGCATACATAGTATAGAAAAGCCTTATTCTTCTGACCTATATAACAAAAGTTTTTCGCGAAAGAGAATATTGTCTGCACACAGGTATGCTCTTACTGGTAAAAAACCTTATTCTTGCAGTAAATGTAATAAGAATTTTTCAAGAAAGTCACGTCTGATTTTACACATTCGCAATCATACAGGAGAGAAACCATATTCTTGTGGTATATGTAATAAAAGTTTTTCTTGTGGCACTATACTCTCTCGGCACAGTCGGGTTCATACTGGGGAGAAACCATATTCTTGTAATGCATGTAATAAAAGTTTTTCACAGAAGTCCCATCTAACTAATCACAGACGCACTCATACTGGTGAAAAGCCTTATTCCTGTGAAATATGTAATAAAAGTTTTTCATGGGGGACAACATTGACTGAGCACAGACGTGTTCATACTGGTGAAACACCGTATTCTTGCAGTGAATGTAATAAGAGTTTTGCACAACAGTCATCACTGACTATACACAGTCGCATTCATACAGGAGAGAAACCATATTCTTGCGATATCTGTAATAAGAAATTTTTAATTAAGGCACGTTTAACTCGTCACTTTCGCATACATACCGGTGAAAATCCTTATTCTTGTGACATATGTAATAAAAGTTTTTCACGTGAAAGTACACTGTCTGTTCACAGCCGGGTTCATACTGGGGAGAAACCTTATTCTTGTAATGCATGTGATAAAAGTTTTTCACAGAAGTCCCATCTAACTAATCACAGACGCACTCATACTAGTGAAAAGCCTTATTCCTGTGAAATATGTAATAAAAGTTTTTCATGGGGGACAACATTGACTGAGCACAGACGTGTTCATACTGGTGAAACACCGTATTCTTGCAGTGAATGTAATAAGAGTTTTGCAAGAAAGTCAACACTGACTATACACAGTCGCACTCATACAGGAAGGAAACCATATTCTTGTGATATATGTAATAAGAAATTTTTAACTAAGGCACATTTAACTCGTCACTTTCGCATACATACTGGTGAAAATCCATATTCTTGTGACATATGTAATAAAAGTTTTTCATGTGAAAGTACACTGTCTATTCACTGTCTGGTTCATACTGGGGAGAAACTTTATTCTTGCAGTGCATGTAATAAGAATTTTTCAACCAAAACAACTTTAACTCGTCACTTTCGCATACATACTGGTGAAAAGCCTTATTCTTGTGACATATGTAATAAAAGTTTTTCATTAGGGACAACATTAACTGTGCACAGGCGTGTTCATACCGGGGAGAAGCCTTATTCTTGTGAAATATGTAATAAAAGTTTTTCACAAAGGTCAGCATTGACTGTGCACAGACGTGTCCATACCAGAGAGAAGCCTTATTCTTGCAGTGCATGTAATAAGAGTTTTACAACGAAACGAAACTTAACTGCACACCTTTACACAGGACAGCATTTGTCCAGATACAGTCGTGTTCATACTGGTGAAAAACCTTGATCCTGTAATGTATGTAATAAGAGTTTTTCAAAAAGGAAGAATTTAACTGAACAATTGCACTCATACAGGGGAGAAGCCTTATTCCTGTAGTATATTTGTTATAAGAGATTTTTGTTGAAGATAATTTTGACTCATCAAATATGCACACTGTTGAAAAGCCTTATTCTTGTTACTTGTGTAATAAAAGTTTTTTATCTGGGCATGATCTGTTCAGACATAGGCATGTTTATACTGGTGAGAAACCTTTTTCTTGTAGTGTATGTAATAATAGTTTTTCACAGAAACATAATTAGACTATACACAGTCGCACTCCTGCTGATGAAAAACCTTATTCTTGTCCCAAATGTAAAACAAAACCTTTTCTATAGAAAGTGTACTGTCTGTGCACAATCATATTCATACTGGGGAGAAACATTATTCTTATAGTAGGTGTAATAAGAGTTTTTCATGAAAGGATCTTCTAACTCTGCACAGTCA